CACTTGGAAATTTGTTTTGGCAGATAGCGTGCCACTTCGCCATAACACAAGAGCGCCCCTAGCGGTCAACTGACCGTCACTCACTTAATATGCCCTAATTAAGTGTAATCAAAACAAAACCCAGAAGTTGAAATTTAATGACTTTACGGTACTTGTTGTTTATATTTTGGTGTGTTTTGGGTTGAAAAAGTAAAGAAAACATATTTACTCCATTTTAGCTTTTCTTTTAAAACCAAGACCTTTCTGCTGCCCCATAGGGCTACATGGCGCAGGGGCGACTGTTGCATAGTAACCTTTTCCAGGGGTTTTTTCGCGCCTTATTAAAATGTGATCAATATGGTTGTCATTAGACTCTAAAGATACTTTAGTTTTTTTTTTTTTTTATTGAAGATCAGAAAGAGTTTTGAATGGAGGAGTACAAAATGAATAGAGCTGAAAGTACACGGTATGAACCTGACAGTGCTCAAACATTGAATGAGAACATCTGACGAGGTGAGATGTCACATTTGAGGTGGAAAAGTGACAGCGGAGAGACACCTATAAGATTCTAAATCTGAACGTAACACATAGTGCATTCACGCACGACAGCTGGATTAGACCATTGTGCTTGTATAAATCCCACAGAATTTTTTTCTCGGATGAGCAACTCCGATCTTTTGTTTTGTTTTTTGTTCTGCCGCTCAATTGTGGCTTGTCAGAGGGAGCAGGATCAGGAGGGTGAGCCGGAAAGACAATGAGGATGGAGGAGGAAGGAAAGAATGGATAGGAGAGGGAGCGGGGGGAACGGGAGCCGAGCTGGAGACTGAGAATGTGAGGTTGTTGATAATTGGGGGACCTTTATAGCCTAGCAGAGAATTTGAGATATGGGGCGAGTGGAGAAAGACAAGCGTGAAAAAAACATCGCCGAGAGGGACAATATTATAGGCAATGAGCAGTCCACCACTCACTATTGGTTAACAGATAAAAACACTTAAATGATTCAAACTAAAACATTGTGTGGCAGGATGTTGTACTATTTCTTATTTAACAACAAATCTTAACCTTGCACTTTTTCCTTTTACTCAGGTGCTGTGGAACCTTTGTATCTGCATACATTTACTAAACATATAGGTACTTGATTCTATACATGTGCCACCTGTCAGTCTGTTCACTAGGATCGTCCATAGTCTCGGAGCTGTATCAATCATCAAAAAGCTGGATCACTGCACCCATAAATATTATAACTATATTTTTAAGACCCTAAAACAAAATACTTTTTTATTTTAAGAAATATACATGTCACAATCAAACACTGTTAAATAATCCTTTAATATTTTGTATTTAAAAATGTGTTAGAATTAAACATGTTTATAGTGAAGTGTCACTAGTTTTTGCTTGCTGCTATTAGACACACAACAGATTGAGGGGAGAATATATGAACAAAGTCAAGAATTATCTGGAGTAACACAAATTATCTAAGAGTTGTTTTAATTCATGTGTGAGTTATGCAAAGGGATGTTTTCCAATCTCATAATCCTGAGTTTGGAAAACTCAGCATTAAACTTCTCAGATAAACATTCGCATAAATGTACTTATCGGAGATATTGCAAAACATCAGTTGTGGTCAAATGAACTGTTTGGAACCATTCATTAGTTCATTCATTCATTCAGAACGCACCAGGGGCTAAGAAAAACCAAGAGCTCAGCTGGACTGGGAACGCCTCAGGATTCTGGGAAGATTGTGTCTGGAGGGAGAAAAGAGATAGTTATTGAGGTTAATGTATACTTCTTTGTTTCTGAAGTGAAATCATTATCATTTGCGTTTTACCCATTTTGAATGCCACCAGGGCTTCTGCCTGGAGCTGTCTCATAGCTTGTAAAAAACAAAAAAAACATCTTTGAATATTATATTTAAAAATACTATTTGACTGGCATATTGTGTGTAAATCTATATTTCTGCTGTAAAGTAATTCTTCTGTAATTACCAAAAGGACATTTAATTCATTCATAAATTGGTTAAACTTTTTATGTTGAATTGCAGAAAATAACCCTTTTGAACAATATTGTAGTTTCTCCAGTTTCACTTGACGAATCACTGTCACATAATGAATAAGAACAGAGATAAAGATAATATGACAAGTAGCTGAGCAGCTTTAGCAAAACATTCCGCATCCAATATGTTGAAACAGAATCTTGCGTTGATGACAATTGATTTATTTTTTTCACCTATTTTCAATTCAACTTTATCTACTAACTAATCTATCTGCACGCACCCAGTTATCTTATGGTCATCAACCACTGGGCTTTGCAATGCTTTATCTCACTCTCTCACAGCTAAACTTTACCATGAAAAAGACATATGGAAAGTGATAACAAATTAAAAAGTGTCACCACAGATTCATTAAAATTGAAAATAAATACCTAATATCAGGTCTAAAAGGGTCTCAATTACTCAGAGCCAGTGAAGGTAGAAAATATCATCAAAATTCCGACCCGAGGATAGCACAAGGGTAAAACAAATAATCAAAAACTCTAAGTGGGGTTTGCACAAATAATCATATAGCTCGAGTAACCACTGTGTGGATTCCCCGGCAAGTTTTTCTTCCATTATGTGTTTTGCTCCATCCATCTTCCCATCAACTCATTCTCCTCTCTGTGCTGAAAAAGAAGGCCTAAGATGATGCTGTAATCCTTATTGTTAACACAACTCAGGGCAACAGTGGCTCAGTTGGTAGAGCATCGGCCTTTGAGCCCAGGGTTCGAGCCCACCTCAAGACTTTCTCCACCGACTCCCTCTGCTGTTGTTGTGTCCTTGGCAGACACCTCTGGGAACACCAGGTGCCACAGTGGGGCGGCTGCGGCTGTAAAGTGTCAAACTGCCGTTGTGTCCTTAGGCAAGACACTTCACCCACATTGCCTAGAATGAGTCTGGTGTGTGTGTGAATGGTTGGTGGTGGTCGGAGGAGCTGATGGCACATACTGGTTGCCTCGCTTCTGTCAGTGTGCCCCAGGGCAGCTGTGGCAACAGTAGTAGTTTATCACCACTGTGTATGGAGTGAAAGAATAATTAATTACTTGTAAAGTGTCTTTGAGTGTCCAAAAGAGCGCTATATAAAACCGATGCATTATTATTATAACACAGTGCTGCACTGAGGGAGATGTGTTAGTTTTTGCACTGGCTTTCTATTTACCCCTCGTAAAGGGATTCAGATTCCCCCAGGCGAGATGTGGATGTTTGCAGCTGCTCCAGCGTAGCCAGTGTGTTATCGGCCCCGTGTGCACGATTGATCAGTGTTGTCCTTGTTGGAGCTGTGAGTTTGGGGGAGACAGCTATGTCTTGGCAGATTTGTAGTTGTGCCGTAATCTTTCCATTTACGAATAATGAATTGAGATTTTCAAATCTTTGGAAATGTTTATATAACTTAAGGCTGCTTCAAAATCGTCCATAAGTTTCTCCCTGACCTCTCCTGTGCACTCCTTGGTCTTCATGATGCTGTTGACCAATTCACTCCAACCAGAGCTCTGAGGCCCTCAAAGAACAGCTTTGAGTAACAAAATGAATTCAAATCATTATGTTCATTATCCTACACATGACAAAATGTGCACAAGTTCAAGTTGTGTTAGAACTTTCGAGAGGCATTTCAGATTATTATTGATTACTAGACTATTTTTGAGTAATGTTTTTCGTTTTACTTTACTTTTATGTGGAATTCCCAAAAGAGCTACTCTGCAGAATCTAAAGGGCCTGATAGCCAAAACAATGAAAACATAACTTTTAGCCATGCATGTGCATGTGTGCTACATCTTTTTGCATCATCAAAATTACTATTGTTTCTATGATTTTGTCCTAGTTTCCATCCATCCATTTTCTTCCCCTTAATCCATTTCTGGGTCGGGGGGTGGCAGTCAGAGCTGCACCCAGTCACAGAGCACCAGCCTCTCACTGATCCTCCTGCAGGTGGTGAGTCCACAGGAGCTGAGATCTTTCAGTTGGGGCTTCAGGCAAAGTGGGGTTAAGTGTCTTGCCCAAGGACACAACGACAGCAGTCATCAGTGGGAGTCGTGAAGTAGGTCTTGAAGTGGGCTCGAACCCACAACCTTCAGGCTCAAAGGCCAATGCTCTACCAACTGAGCTACTGTCGCCCCAGTTTCCTGTTGTCCTAGTTTCCTCAGAATTTAAAACGACACGGTGATGCACATTTGCACAAACTCCTCTGTGGTGACTTCGATTCAAATATAGCATGAAGAACAAACGCCTCTCATTCAAAACAGTCCTGTTCTCCCAGTGGAACAAAAGACTCAGAAACACGCATCAGAACAAGTTGTCTAAGTCTAATGTTTATGAATATATAGATACTGTAAATAGATAGATGGATGGAGAGATACATTTATTATTACAGGGAAAATCTGTGTCTTTGTTCAGATTAACTTAAAGTAAAAAATAAAGCAAAACTGTGATGATATTTCTTATTCATGTATAATATTTCTGTTTCAATGGTTGTGGCGGGTAAGGAGTGTTGTACATGTCTCTGTATTTGTGTTAATGATATAATCCCATGTGGGCTGGGCATCCTCGTGTGCAAAACACTATAATAAAAAACCATCTATCTATATATACATTTTGAGGCTCTTGACTTTCTCTCTGACAGACGAGGGGAAACTGCTTCTTTGGATTATAAAGGTTGTTACAGTTTCAGTAAGGTGTATTTACCGTGACTTGTTTTGACTGCAAACTTTTTGTTTTTTGAAAATGATTTAATCTTTCTATTGCATCGAAAGTCGAGTCTGTTCTCAAAACTTCACACAGTGACTACCAAATCAAGTTACATGAGGAACAAAGATTTGGGAAATCAATCACTTCTTTTTTCCTCTGATAATATACCTTCCCTGTGGAGAAAAAGCAGAGGCAACACCAGACTGCTGGGTATCGCGAGCCAATACATAAACACAATCGCAAAGCAAAGTTCGATATCATGGTCAAAATGAGAGGTGTAGAAAACAGCCATCCTCAACATCAGAGCTCACAGAATGTATATCATGGTGTACATGGTTGCTCGTTTGGATTGGTCAACCCTTCTGTTCCCACCAACCACTTCCCCAGGCTTTGGACGAATCAGAACACAGAGAACAGTAACGCTAAAGAACAAAAGAATAAAAGCGCAAACAACTGCAATGCGTGATTGGGTGAACCACGGCCATGTAGCGTTCTACGCTGGTCAGAATGTGGAGCCACATCACGCCGATGGAGGCAAAGTACTTCAGGCCAATTCCAGATTCAGATAAGTTTGGTCGCCACATGAGTCGGACGAAGCTCAAGCCCGAGCCCACAAGGTTCAGGAGCTCCATCACCACCATGTGGAAAGTGAAGACGTCCGAGTGGGTGATGGTGGAGCGGTGCCACTTCCACTTTCTGAAACCGAAGAAAGTGACGGATATGAAGGTGGGAAAGATGTGCAGGTAGACGGCGATCCAGCTGGTGAAGGCCACATAACTCCCTATGTTGTTGCATTGTAGCAGGGAGGAGTTGTTGGACATCTGGATCTGAAACCGTCACAGAAACTGTACGTTTATAACGGAGAGTGTGGCGTTTGTTAAACAAGACATAACATGCTTCAACCTGCTATATCGGGAAAATCTTTGAGACCTGAGGCTCATAAAATCAATCCTGAATCAGGAGCCAGTGGATACAAAGAGTGCTCTTCAGAAGTGAGTCCCATGTGTGAGCCAAGGTATAGGCCCCCTTGTCTCTGTTGATGGTCTATGTGCCCCACTCCCTGTCTGATGGATCCGCCTGATCTGTCACACTGGCTGCATCTGGTAACAACAGCTAATGTTACCTTTGATGAAACATGTCAGACCATACCTGAAAAAGGTTTAAAATTTATAAAAGGTTAAAATGTCTATTTTATTTGTTACAAATGTATTTCACTGTATTTAGTGGAGAGGAATCTGCATTTTTTCCTAAATGTAAGGACAGTTTAGTTTTGTACTTTTGTATTTTTTTAAAGGTTTTTCACAAAGTTCTTGACCCAAGTCCTTTGACCAAAGGTGGTTTATCTGGATTTATTTGAAAAAAGTTGCCAGTCATGCAGTTGCTGATATTGTCAAGGCAGGTAAATGTCATTCATTATGGTATTGCATATTATATTTTTATGATGTGGCCAAGAGGAAGTAAAAATTTAACAAAAGTAGGCTGAGAATGGAACCCTGCAGGACTCCGCTTTTTAAAGTGAAGGTTTGTTGCTTTTCAAATCGTGAAGGTGGAGAGAAGTGTTTTGTATACAATATGGGTTCCATCCATCCCACAGCTTCTGGATTACCATTGCCTGAATTATTCTCCTCCAGCCAATTGTACTGGTAATGGTTTTTTCAAGAAGAAGGACTGTTTTCAATACCAATTTTGTTAATACAGATAATACTATATTGTATATTGTCAATATAATATATTTTCACTACGAAAACTTCCATTGAAGTCATCTTAAAAGGGAACATGAAATAATATACAACAATGCCACAAAAAAAAGTAAATACAAGTTTTAAAGAGATGGATGTATCAATTACAGATGAGTGCACCTGAGATTTGTCCCCTTCACTGGGAATAATTGTAATCAGAACCAGCTTTTGGTGGTAGCTGAGAAGGTACGACAGTGGAGGATAGAAATATATAAATATTCTCTGTGGAAAACAGAGATTTGGGAAAAATTTTCCCAAATAAAAAAATACAAAAATTGTGGCTTCTTTGCATATTTATTTCTTATTTCTTTATTTAGTTTACAGAAGTACGGATTATAAAGATCTGTACATGATGTGCATAAATTACATTTATTTATGACAGATTCAGTATACTTGCAATTTGTATTCTTGTATATGTTTCTATATTATATTGTGTTTTTACTTGTGTTCAGCACTTTGGTCAACTGTGTTGTTTTTAAAGTGCTCTATAAATAAAGTTATTATTATTATTATTATTATAAAAAAATGCATAAAAATCCAAAAAGATGTGTGGCAGAGGACCCAAGAGAAGGAATTATTGTCTTAGTGTAAAATAAATAATCATAAAAAACTAAAACCTGCATAAATTGCTATAAAGAACACAATTAACAGATCAAAAGTGAGAAAAAGGTTGTTTTTTGAAGACTTGTTGTATTCCATTTAACGCAGCACTGTCAGTATGAAATAGTATCATATTTTCTTCTGTTAAATTATACAGTGGCAAAATCAACTGCACATCACAGCTATAATTATTTTTAATACACATTTCCAACTTTTAAAATCCCATTGTGTCGTCCTCTCAAAATCTTTAAAATACAGAAAAACCATAGTAAGGACAAAACACATTAATTAAATAGACAAAGAAGTCACCACTTTAAACTTACCTTTATCAGTCGAGGTTTAAGGACTAGTCTTTTGGATAAAATAAATATCTTGATTCAAATGAAGTATGTCATCAACAGTCAAATAAACCACTTTGACTATTGCTGAAGCCGATTAGCACAAGGATAGGGTGGTGTCGTTTTCACTCTTTTGCACATCTTTTGCATACTTGTAAGACAGAGCCCTGTGAGTCACTATTTGACCCTTTGGGCAGATTGGCTGAGTGAGGGAGGTCTTCTCTTTTTCACTTTTGTGTATGAAAAAGCTGATGTGACAGAGGCCAAAACATGTGTGAAAACCAACTATAGAACCAAGCTGTCAGTGTGCCCTGGGGAAAACATGTTAATTGGAGGATATATTATGTACAATAAAAAGTGTCAATTCAAAGTGGCAATCAAGAAACAGTGTCAATGGTAGTGCAGATTTTATAGTCCTAGTGCAAGTGAGTTAAAGTGACTCATTGCACAGTCTGACAGCAGTGGGGATAAAGGCCCTGCGGTAGCACTCCTTCTTGCACTGAGGGTGCCTCAGTCTTCCACTGAAGGAACTCCTCAGCTCCTCTACAGTCCTGTGCAGTGGGTGGGAGGTGTTGTACTTGATGGAGGTGACTTTGGCTAGCACCCTCCTGTCCCTCACCTCCTCCACAGAGTCCAGGGAGCAGCCCAGAGTGGAGATGGCCCTCCTGACCAGCTTGTTCAGTCTGCTCCTGTCTCGCTCTGTGCTGCCCGGGGCCCAGCACATGGCAGCGTAGTGTATGGCACCACAGAGTCATAAAAAGTCCTGAACAGAGGCCTGCTCACTCCGAAGGACCGCAGCCTCCTCAGAAGGAAGAGGCAACTTTGGTCTCGTCTTGGTCTCGTGCTGTGTTATATATTTATACGTTTTGTAAGTTGGCAACCCTTTTAGAAACTTGACACAATTAATATTAAAGTTTTGTCAGAGTGATTTTATTGTAGATAAAGTACAAGAATTATCAATCTCTACTTCATGTCCAGATAATCAGTACAAAAAAAAAAACTGGTGTCAGAATGAAATTTTTTCTTAAAGTGCCAATTTACAATGAACATAAAAAGCAAATCATGTCAGGAACAGACAACTAGAACATGTACTCGGAGAGCGCATACCCCGCCAACAACCCCAACTTACACACGTCCACTCAGTTCAGTAGTTTTTGTGCAAGCCTACACACACACACACACACACACACACACAAACATTTGAATCTTTCATTTATCCAAATAAAAAAGTTAAAAGCAAATTCTGCATCAATTTCTTCTGTAATGAGATGATTAGAATGTACTTGTTTACATCCATTCACAAAACCATGAGGAAGGTGATCGCAGCCACCACCAAACCAAATGCCCCCATGACTCCAAACGTCACATAGTGGTGTCTCATAAATGCAGAGTGGTCTTCTCCTTCATCTATCACACGGATCTTATTTTTATCACCATCATCATCATCATCATCCTCCTCATCCTCTGCTCCTCTGCATGCACCAACACCACCTACAGCAGAGAAACACACAGATTCAATTCATTTGCCATTTGCAGAACAGCCCAATTGGAATACATGTGCAAAAATAAGTAAAAAGTGCACCAGACAAGTACATACAAAAACAAGGTAAAAGTCATAGTGAAACAAATCGACAAAAACAGTTTCAATATCAGGTGATCATTAAAGTTATTTTTGCATGTCCAGTTGTCCTGAATCTCAGCGAATGACATCTTCTGCCAGAGGGAAGAAGCTGGAACATGGCTTTTCCAGGACTCAGAAGATTCATTGATTGACACAAACAGATCACAAGTCACAGTCCATTCTTTGCAGAGTGGACCACCTTGTTTAAAGGAAAAAGCAAAGGTGCACTTTATTGAGCTCTCCGTTCTTTGGCTGTGATGTTACCAAACCAAGTGCCTGCAGAAAGAGGTGATGCTGACAAGCTTTCTTAACAACCTGATTAGTGTTTTTGTTAAACCCAGAAACCGGTTAAACCGCGAAGCTCTGACAGTTTTGCTTGTACACAGTCACTCCCTTATCTCCCTCATTGTGTGTGATACGTCCTTATCCTCATCCACCCTCAATCACCCCCACTCACCCTCACTCACTCCCTCTGCTCTAGGGAGGATCCAACAGCATTCAAAGACTAAACACCAAAATGACACAGGCTTCACTGTATGTACTGTATGGCTGAAAAATACACCTACTTGGGCGTCAGCCTCGACTCCACCTTAACATTTAAAAGTCATTTTAAAAAACTTCAAAACAGTCTAAACTTTACATTGGCCAACTTCAGACACATCAGAGGGTCCCTCACAGTCGAGGCCTCCCACATGTTTCTGAATGCTATGGTTCTGCCACACTCCATGTACTGTATGTCAAGTTGGTCCCAGGGCTCCAAATCTGCTCTGGGTCCTCCTCAATCAATATAAAAACGTGCATTAAAAATACATGACAGAAAACCCAAACAATACCACCACTCTCCAATCTTAACAAAATACAAAATTCTTAACCTCAAAAATCAATTTTTTTATAATAATGTGTGTCTACTTTTTAAAATTATAAAAAATATGTGACCTTGCGCTCTGAAACGATGACCCGTGCCACTCGATCTACAGCACGTGGAGAGTGCAGCGTCCCAAAATGTAGGACTTCTTTCAGAAAGTCAGCCTTCTCCGTCACTGCAGCGACTCAGTGGAACTCACATCATCACCTGTGTGTGTGTGTGTGTGAGAGTTGAGAGTTGAGTGTAGGATTGTATGAAAGTTAAGAATGGGGGCTGGGTGGTTTTATTTTATGTTATAATCTAATCTGTGATGAATTAAATTGTAATGTATGTCTGATAATGTATGGTAATGTATCTATCTACTTTTATTTTACTGTTTTACAACAACCTGCTCAGGGACTACAGGTGTAAATTAGCACTGCTGCTAAAACCTGGTACAATGCATCTCTCCTTCTGGCTAATGTTTATTGTACACTGTCCCTGTAAAAATAAAAAATCATACCATACCATACCATACCATACCATACTGTACAGCACCGGAGAAGATCCGGAACTAGGACTGTTTATTATCTGTGTGCAATCATTTGTTAAAGGGGCTCATAACAATATTCCCAGAAAAACTGATATCTTTGTTGAACCAAAAGAACAGGTTAGATAGAGACGTCTCTTCGTATCGTGTGCCTCAAAGATGGAGCATAAATGAGGCTTTCTCTGCAAAAATATACATATAAACCCAATGTAAGTTGTGTTTACATCAAGTTTGTCTCATTGGAAGTTAATGTTTTAAAGAAGACCTAATATGCTATATTTTTTTTAGACTTAAGTAGAGAATATATTGTCTTGTTTCATCAGATAGAGATAGAGAGCGCCCCTCTCACCTGCCTGTGTTACCCGGAGTTTCACGACGCTGACCGGCTCGCTGCTGATGATGGACCTCTTGGAAACACCGGAGCCCTGGATCACGTAGCGGCACTCGTACTTCCCGTTGTCCTTGCTGGTCACGTTTCGCAGAGACAGAGCCGCCGTGCCGTCTTTGAGCTCGACTCGCCCCCTGTAGGCCTCGTGCTGCTTGTTCAGCGCCGCCACCCCATCCTTCAGCAGGTAAACGTACGGGTCCAGGTCGGTGCGGGTCCACTCCAGTCCGTCCACCGAGTCGGGTCTGGGGGCGGCGCACGGCAGCGTCACGTCGTCTCCGCACTGCGCATTCACCTGCACCACTGCCACAACACAAGTCACACTTTGGACAGGGAAACATGGAGACAAAAATATACTGTATATCACGCAACATGTTCAATATTCTTTTAATTTATAACTTTAAACGTGTAGTACTTATTCTGTATTCAAAAGCTGAGGTAACACCTCAATTTGACCCTGTTCTTGATTTGATGCCAGTCAAATATAAATAAACAGGAATTAAGGAGAGGATAAGATTGAAATTGGAATGTTGGTAACTATTATGATAGTGGATCTGTGTTTTTTATTTTTATTTTATGTTGTGTAGTCGTTTTTTTTTTTAACAACAAATTACAGACATAGATATGAACAGATAAGGTGGTAGGTGAAAGAGAGTGATGTCTGACACTCAACACTGCTATTGATCTTTATTTTATTTATTTTAATTGTTTCTATTTTATTTTATTTTAATTTAATAGTTTTTTATTTTTTTGTATTTTTTTATTCTATTTTAATTTTTTTAATTTTATTTTATTTAAAAGATTTTATTAGAATTGTTAATTGTTGATTTTATATGAGTTCTTTTATTTTATTTGAATTTATGTTTTAATTATTTGAATTTTTTAATTTTACTTGATTTAATTTTATTTATTTATTTTTATTTTATTTTACTTTAATTGTTTTTTATTAAAAGCTGGTAGAGTTGTATATTTAAATGTGTTACTTTTATCTGTGCTGCACTTTGTAAACGTGTTTTATAAAATAATAAAGCGAATTGAAAAGTTCTTACAAAGCAGTGATGGGCAAGCTACTTGATTTGTGTAGTGAGCTAAGCTACAAGCTACTCTACAATAAATTCAGCTTCACTACACAGAAGCTACCACCCATACAAATGTAGCAAGCTAAGTTACAAAATTCTGTCAAAAGTAGCTTGCTATAGAAGCTATTTTCAATTAAACAAACTGCAGTTCATGCAATTTTATATTTTCCTGCATAAACATGTTTGCTCATTTCTTATTTTTTGCACAATTCTTGAGTGTTTTATCCATGCCAAATGTGACATGTAAATGTCTCCTGTGTGAGATTAATAAAGCTTATCTTCTTATTTGAGATAAACTGTCAGTCAGATAAAGGTTAAAATGTTGTAGATATTTATTGAACAATAGCCCAAAACACCAAAAACAACAAAGAGTAGGCATCTGAAAACATATTTCTTTTCGCTCATCTCGACTAGAGTGACGTACTTTTGGTATGGCCACGGTACAACACTTTGAGAGTCCTTATCATGGTCCTCCTCCACCGCGGCGGCTCCTGGGCTCTCTGCCATGCTTTTGCTTCCCCCAGTGCGCGCGCGCATGTGTGTCCGTGTGTGTGTGTCCGCGTACGTTCGTGTGTGTCGTTACCAAGCCCTGCGCATGCGCATCAGCATTCTGTCCTTCTATATGTTTGTTTTATCTTTAAATCCATAAGAATTAAAGTTGGGACTGACTATATATTACATTGTCCTTTTTTAATTTCAATTTACATTTATTTTTATTTTGTATGGACCATTTTTTGCTTGAGTCTGAAATCAAGATTAATAATAATAATAATAATAATAATTAAAAAACAAAATTTGCTTTTAAGCATTTAAATCCAGCTCCATACAGAAAGAATGAATGAAGCCTTTATTACAGACACTGACACAGGGTCCAACATAGACACACAAAAGACAGAACATACAAGTTAAAAAGACAGCTATACCAGTGTAACCTTGCCTGCAAGCTGAATTCTCGCGGTATTTGTGAGTTCACAAACACTCGAGAATACATCTTGCCCCGCTCCCGCCAACCCTTTTCGAGTAGAACATCTAGGTGTTCAAGCCAATCACGCGCCAGTCTGGGGGTTTAGGGCGGGATATCCGGGTTTGACGAAAGCAAGAAGTCCCGGGCCGAAGCAAAACAAACATGGCTACGCAGGAGGACGGACCAGTGGGGGAGGGTCCCAGCTCAAAAGTGGCCAAAATGACGTGCGCTGACATGCTTGCAATACCACCCCGGGCCGATGGGGGTGGACCCAGAAGAAGAATTAGCCAATGCTAACATATAGCGTTGGCAGACCTCTCAAAAACGTCTTTACAGGATGGACCAAAGGTTGGCTCTTGGCCCAAAGCTCCGTTCCACATGTGTGTCAATGCTGAGGGGGGTGATTTTTTTTGGTCCTCTCTAGTTTTCTCACGGGGAATGTTTGAAGTCTCTCGTTCAAATGAATGGAGCTGCGCCAGCTGACGCATGCGCAGATGCGTTTTTTCACAATTTTCTTGTGGGCGGGACCACTCGCGGCCATCTTGGATTGCTCCATGAAAGCACTTTTCATGGCCAACTCCTATGAACGGCGGAGATAGGCGTGACTCTGTCCGTTAATATATACAGTCTATGGGACGGACGCGAAGCTGAGGCTATCAAGTCAATTTTTTGCAGAATCTCCAATTTATTTTTTGAAAGATGAACAGCGAGAGGCGCTTTGTGCATTTCTGGACGGCAAAGATGTTTGTGCATTTATACCTACGGGTTTTGGCAAGAGTCTAATATACCAACGACATGATGATAAAGCAGTCATAAGCCAAATAAAACTAGTTTAGTCCAGCGCAACTTATGGTGGTTTCTCAGGGCGCACGCCGATGACGACATAATGTTACCGGGATTGGTTTAAGTCAAACCTTGGTAGGCGGGCACACAGCTTCACTTCGCCCTATCAGCTTGAAGTATTCTGCTGCTTATCCCTCCTTTCCCCTAAAGGATTCTCCTGCAGAAGTCCCAGATTGATATTGTGGAGAACGCATTAGAGTTCTACACAATCATCAATCTGGCTCTTGCCAGGGTAATACCAGTGCTTTGTTGTGGAAAGTTCTTTAATGATCCATGGAAACAGAGTTGCATTTGTGTGGTTTAATGAAAGTAAAAAGTACATGATAATAACAAGCATTTGCAAATGGAGAAAGCTTCTGCAGTCCGCTCCTCGGACCCTGCATCAGTCTCTCTCTGAGGCACAATGGGATTCACACAAGCTTTATCAGAATGGTCTGGTTCATCATTGGCCACAGGAAAAACACATGTCACATCTCTACACTGAATCCATGAAAATAGGTAACTCAAGGTATGAAGAGCTGAGAAATAAGGGGGGTTGAGGGGGGTCGAGAGGACAGGGGCAGAGGACACAGGAACAGTACATTCCAAGATCACATCATCCACATGATCAGGGAAACAGTCACATCAGAGAAGATGGTCAGTCACTGTCAATAACTAAACTCACTAACAAACTGCATCTTAATTTACTCAAACATCATCCCAAATACCTTCCTGCCATAAAACAATGTTCATGCAATTTTTTCCATTACAGCTTCCACATTCTCGCCTGGTGACGGGCTGCACTACAACAGATGTCGACTTGTGAGACAACTACTTCATTTCCAGACCTGTTCAATCGACCAATGAAGTGTCTGCAGTGTGGAGGCGTTAACTCTTGCAGAGACAAACATCTCACTCGCACTATCTCGGTCTCCTGAGAAGAACTCATTATAAGCCACCTGCAGCTTTTGCACAGTTCCTTTATACATGTACCAGAGATAATAGTACGCCCTAAAGTACACTATTTTCACCTGGTCTGCACTGGATTTAATCAGCGAACCAAAATATCTGCCTGAGCGTATCAGAGAGTTTTTACTTTTAGTTTTATGATGTCATAGACAGAGCTGCTTTCTGTATTTAAAACCAAAATATTGCCTTTAAATTAGTTCAGGGAATTTAAAACTGTCACTTCAATTAAATAACACAATTTTAGGTATTGATATATATTTTCTACTTAATTTATTTCACATTTTAAAACACACGTGTCAAAGGTTTTCATTCCCAGGAGCGCAGCAGATTTCCTTAAGCGAGTCCAGTCCTTACCTGGCGACCTGAGGAAATGTAAAAACACAAAAAGTAAAATCTGTGAAAGTATTGTCTGTATGTGAGTCGAGTCTGTTCACACATTTTATTAGCTTTTCTTGTGGTCACTGCTTTCGGCCTCGACCCAGTTTGTCGAAATGGAACAAAAATCAAACAAGAAAATCACAAGTTTAACCACATGGACTTTTGCGGTTTCAACAGCTATAACATGGAGAGACTATGAAGCCGTAAAAACTACAGCAATGAGAAACATTTTTATACATATATGGGTTAAGCTTTCTCTTTAGTTTTTATTGTGTATATTTGTGACTGTGTTGGGTTTTGTTTTGCCAACTACCTTGTTGTGCATGTGTGTAGTCACTGCCCATAGGTGTCATGGGGTGGGAAGGAGGAGGACTCAAAATGCAAAATAATGATTTAATAATAATGTCCAAGGTAAAAACAAAATCCAAACTGAGCAAGGAACCATAACACAAAGACCGAAACAATACAATGGACCAGCAACAAGGGGAGAGGAGCACCGGGTACGACACACACAGACACAGTGAAACACATTAGGGCGGGGCAGACAATCAACAGGGAACAGGCCAGAAAGCAAAACTGAAATGAAACCCACAGAACTAATGGCAAAATAAAACCAAATACAGAGATAAAATCCACACCATGACAAAAGGTTCACTTCCCACATTTCTACAGGTGGAGAAACCCTATTGTGTAATCAGTGCTAAAGCAAAAAAAAAAAACAATATATTTTGAGCACTCTACTGACCATCATTACTGCTGTTGAGAAAGCGTTTTTTATGTAGGTTTTAATGGTGTACGGATCATTTACAAGTAACAAAAGCTTTTGGTAATGAGGAATTTGTTGTCTTTACTTGAACCATTCCAGGAAAGAGATTGTCTCAAACAGATCAAGCTAAGCTCACTTGGATATTTCTACTTCTGTTTTGGATATTCCTAGAATTTGAAGACATTTTAAATAATTCTCAACACTTTCATGCCACAAAGGTGAATAAGAATAGGACGCATGGGCAAGAAAGGAGAATTATGTATTCATTTGTCTACAGTCCATGAGCCCTACAGACCAGATCAGGTTTTTACGTGACAAATGCACTAACAATGGCTCAGGAAAAATACTTACATACGTTTTCTATTTACAAACTCTGGATAGATAGTATTTGTTGATAAGTGTTTTATACCTTTTAGCATTCTTGTGCCATGAGTCAGAGTCGTCGAACATGTATTATAGAATTGTGTTAACCAATCTTACAAAATAAATCCATGTCTTTGAACACACCAATGAAGCTAACTTTTTAACAGGACACAAGTAAACACCGCTGAATATATTCAAGAAAGCACATCTAATACTTTTTTCTGTGATCTTGGCGTGGGTGGGGATGAAAAACACTCCAGAGTTAACATTTAACAATTTGGAAACATGGTTAATACTCACAAAAACAATTTTTCATATTTATAGGTGTCATTCATTCATGTTTGACAATGCCTTAAAGTAGCAATATGTAAGATTTTCATGTCAAGTCATCATTAAATGGCCCTAATCTGCCAAAAGGCATTAACAAGACAAGCTTTTTTCAAATACTTCTTTAACTGATTCAGCCAAGATATTTGTATTTCATAATTGGTTTTACAGCCCCTAAATATTGTTATTGTTTTCATTTTGATGTCCCACCCTCCATCGTTTCACCAATCAGAAAGTCCGTGATCCGGGTTGCCAGAACTCACCACTCACTCTCACTGGTAAAGTAACATGTCGACGCAGAACTAAAAAAGGTCTTGTTATAATTCTCAAATCATTAATGACAAACGAGGAATACAACCACAATGTCTATCTTTGTGAAAAAGGTGTTGGTTATTCAGATATTATGGTCCCAGCTGGATTCGTCTGCATATCTGGCAACCTAAGTCAGGAAGAGTGCAGTACCACTTTTATATTTTTACATAGTTTAAGCCCACGCAGTTCTGTGGTGAGAAAAGGGCACCTGTTTCACCGGTAAAGGAAACCACAAGTGCAGAACAGAAATGTATTTTGACCAATGACATGAGAAAGTCGTCTGATCATGGAGAGAATAGCTGTTCCACCGATGCTCCTCTGCAAGTGCATATTTAAACAAATAACGTGTTTGAATTTTATATTTTTTGCATGTACCATGGTTCTGGCATCACTGTGGGACTGCTGCGGAACCGACCAAGGTAAAGATTGAAAATTCTGTTTTTACACATGTATGATGCTAAATGGTAAACAGGTGATTTTTACATGTATTTACATGACAATAGACCAGGACATGGGCAAATTTGTCCGTCCAAGTTTAAACTGGTTTAAAGACATTGTGAGATGAGACTTATTTTTTTAGAATCTGTAATAATGTCTTGAATAGTAAATACTGCATATGTACTGTAAAAACATATACACAGTGTTGAACGTCATTTACATATTTTAAATCAAACTTTATTGTTGCAAATACAGCCACTCTGTAGTAAACACAACATTTTCAATACAAATTAGTAGGAGATACTTTTATTTGAAAGGCGAAAAAACTTTTGTGTAAGGATTCACAGCATAATGAGTTTGAGATAGAAGCATTAAGACAGCAGGGGTGGGGGGACGTGTTTGTGCCAGAAATTCGTAATATTCGCATGCGTTCAGTTAACTTGTCTTTTAGAAAAGTGATTTATTGAACCAATAAATTAGAAAAACAAACCAAAACAGTTGCGCCACACATCTGTCCTTTCATGTTTGTCCGTGTAGTGTCTCTGGCCGTGTCTCCGGGGTCGAGCATATTTGAAGGCGGGTGGTTCATCCTGAAGTGTGTCCCAATAGAGAGCACCTCAAACTGGAGTGTTTACCGGAACACGAGCCATCGGCCAGAGCCCAAGACTTGTGGAGCGTGCTGGGGTAGACCCTTGCAGGACAGCTGTAAGGTGGGACTGGCCGTCACCTGGGACAGCGGCCATTACTGGTGCCAGTCCACAGAGGGCGCTGTCAGCCCCGTGGTCATCGTCCGAGTGAGCAGTGAGTTGAAAAGTTTGACGTTGCTTTTTGTTTTAGTTTTTAAAAAAGCAATGCATCCGGCCCATATGTACGACCCATTGGAAATATAAAGGCCAAGTAAATATGTATCTAAAAAAAATATGATTTACAGCCCTACTATATAGCAAAGAAGCTGTGAAAATAGATTTGAATCGTCTCATGTTTGCTCATTTGCAGGTGGGAATCTCCTGGTGCTGCTACCGTCCCTCCCGGTCTCTCTGGGGGACAACGTGACTCTGAGGTGTCTGAACCGCAGCCTCTTGCCCGTCTCCGCCCTCTTCCACCGAGGCGACCTGCTCCTGAGCCCGGGGCCCAGCACAAGCCTCAGTTTCCGGGCCATGAGTCTCGATGACCGTGGCTGGTACCGGTGCAGCCACGGAGCCGTGGAGTCTCCTCAGGTCCTGCTGCAAGTGCTCAACCGCAGTGAGTCAAGTCCACTGTATCTTTCATGATTAGCTACACTTAAAGGAGCTATACCCATTTCTGCAAGGTTTGAATGTTTAGCACCGCCCCTCAACTCTTCTTATTTCCCCTACACGTTTTATGTGCGATCTGATACACATGCAAACATTAGCATGAGCGCAACTTCTTGTAAGCTATACAACAATCACTGATGAAATGGTACAAAAGCAACGCACTGCTAACAAAATATATAACTGAAAGATTACCGCTAGTTTCACGTCTGAATGTAGTCCGAGCATAGATAGTCCGAGGCGGTCCCGCTCCCGCAGCCCATAGACTATTTTTTCGCTTTAGTACCCTCCTCTCTTCCTCACTGTTGTGTCGTTTGTGATGTTTTGCTGTGTATGGAGTTATAGCAGGAGGAGTTATAGCCAATTCTGCTAACATGCTACTGTGTTTAGCAGCGCTGTAGAGGCTAGAGGACGCAGCCTCGTTCTGTGATTGGAGGAGAGCGGCGTCATGCTAAGTCTCTACTCAGCACTTTTTACGGCCTGAATTCATACACAAGCTGAATTAATGAGCTCAAGTTTTCAATTAAATTACAGATTATAATACAACTTGTATGTAGTAATAAGCATTTTTATGAACTCATAAAAAACCCCCAAAAAAAACGGGTATAGCTTCGTTAAAGTTGGGGTACCTAATTTTCCAAACCTCAAAAACATGAGCTTGTAATAAAATCCTTCTAAGTCATTCCAATCTGTCAAAACAGTTTCTCATGCATGTATTATTTTGGCTTTAGAACTGTTTTTTGGCCCTTAGATCAGTACTTTGCCCTTTAGATTAGTTTTTGTTCAACTGTGTGCCTTTTTATTTGCCCACAGTGACTCACAGTAAGTAAAAAAACTAAATAAATACAACACAATGGTCTGATTTCTTTCATATGTGACTTTGACATGCAGGAAAAACAAAGCAAAAGTGAAAGCTAATAATGGAACCAAACTTTTAGAAAAACTTCTAGACAGTTCCATATGTTGTGGTTTGAAAGTTAGGGGCCCCAGCCTTGAGTCTTCCTGAATTTTGTCCGTTTCTGCTTTCCTTTGGTCATCTTAGGCGTGACAGGCGGCGAGAGCGAGGTCCCCCCATGGGTCCATCCCACAATCTCTTCTTCTGACCCCAGCCCCATGCATCTGGTCCTGAGGATCCTCCGCCACCTGCTGGTCTGCTGTCCTTACTGCGTGTCCACTGTGATAGTGGTCTCTCTTTATCGACAACAACACAAAGGTCTGGCCTTCAAACAATGACCATCAGTGAAAGTATAAACCTAATGCATATACACACACCGTGCTGTTTTCACTTTCTTATATGACATAGTTTTAGATCGAGATGAGTGTTTAGTTATTTTCATTTCAATGTACATCAAACATTAATTATCAGGCGTCACTAAATACAGAGATTCTCATTTTACAGCAGACAGACCCAGGTTATGTCTATAATTAAAAAATATATGTATGTGCTCTTGTTTAAAAAGTATCTACCCCATCTGAATGTAGAAAATTACATTATTCAAAGAACGAGTCATAGTTTTAAGTTTTGGATTGGAAAATATTTTGTTTAAGTTTTAATTTTTGGTCCATAAACATAATCTTTAAAATGTATTATGGTTTACTGAAAATGCTGCTGCTTTTCAGTGGGTGTAAAATAATCTAAAAACAGCTCCAGGTCTGTGTTTAATGAGGGGACACAATGGAATATGTTTCAGTTAAGGCAGAATATTGTGTTTCTCACGACAGAAAACAAGAGGCCAAGATCCAGGAAACCAAAAAGAGAATGTGAAGACACTGATGCTGATGTCGCCACAGAATATCAGTTTTGTGAAGTTGGATTGTAAACTCATGTATCTGCTCTTTAATACATTAGATTGAAGAGAAACATGAACATACTGTACATTTTACATAATGAATGACTTTGTTAGTGATACAGAACTCCTGGTAATTATTTAGAAAAGTGTTATACCATTCACTTTGAACCATATACATATTTATAAAGGACTTGATTCTGAGGAATTCCCCGACTTGTAGTTTACAAAGTTAATCATTGCTCAAAGAAAGCAGTTACTGAACAAACCAGAAACACTTCAAACCATTCAACAAGATAAAGCTGTTGTCTCATATTTTCTTATCTTTCCAAAGTTTTTGTGTCGAGACAAGCTCTTGCCATGGTAACACCTCAATTTATAATATCCCGGGCTCGGCAACTTGCTTTAAAATTTAAGTATTACTGAAATCAAGAAGCTATTTGTTTGTTTTACACTTTCTTTGGTTAATTTTGGTCATGAACACATTCTTCTTGTGTTAAAGAAGAATACTCTTTTGTACAGAGACAGATAGAAACTGTCTTGATAACAACAAATTAAAATGCCATTTTTTTGATTCATGTTTTTCTTAAATGCGTTTAGAAGTACAGATGTTTTCAATATGTTTTATACAGTGTTTTAGATCATTTTCATCTTCATGGACATATTAGGTTTTATAACTAATAAATAATACGGTTAAGAAGTCAGACGAGACATAATGAATACTCCTTCTGTTCACTGCTATCTCAAACACACTGTTATTTCCAGACCAGAGCAAAGCATTATGGGACGTCACAGCCCTTATCTCATGGAGGAATGTTAATGGCCCACAACACGTTTGTCTGTAAACGTCAGAGCTAAATTTAGGGCGACAGTAGCTCAGTTGGTAGAGCATTGGGTTTGAGCCCAGCTCAAGACTTCCACCATCGACTCCCTCTGCTGTCGTTGTGTCCTTGGCAAGACACTTAACCTCTGGGAGCACCAGGCCACCGTGGGGCGGCTGCGGCTGTAAAGTGCCAAACTACTGTTGTGTCCTTAGGCAAGTCACTTCACCCCCATTGCCTAGAATGAGTCTGGTGTGTGTGTGAATGGCTGGTGGTGGTCGGAGGGGCCGATGGCACATACTGGTTGCCTCGCTTCTGTCAGTGTGCCCCAGGGCAGCTGTGACTACAGCAGTAGTTTATCACCACCGTGTCTGGAGTGAAAGAATAATGACATGTAAATCGTCTTTGAGTGTCCAAAAAAGCGCTATATAAAACCGATGCATTATTATTATTATTAAATCTTATCAGAATAGAATAAAGTAGAATATATTTTTCTGAGGTAGAAATTCATCTTTGGCTTCCTGTTACATGAAAACACAAAACAGAATTGAGAAATACAGCGGTTATAAAATTGACAACGCATTCGGACAAATACAGTATGTGATAAAATTGTGATTTATTAACATAGTGATTTATTATGTTTGTATTCTGATCCCAATCTATGGATTGGCCCTGGCATTTTGGCACAAAAGACATGGATTTTCCGATGTGTTCATGAACTATTAATAAATTAAATTACTACAGAATTGTAAGTTAGACATTTAGATTTCCCTCTTTTATCATAGGGAAAGTAAACTTTATCCATTGCATGTGCATGTTTATGTCCTTGATTTATGTTCTGAAACATAAATACCAAAGTGAATATTTTCAAATTGACGACATCAATATTACAACATTGTCAGAACTGGTTTCTGCGTTTTAAAACAAAATGACTGCCTCCAATTTATTTTATGGATTTTCTCCAGTAAATTTTTAAGGACCAGCCAAAATTCTCTACAACCGCAAGCATTACATTTTTGCTCTCAATGTTTCAGTAAAAATCTTGATAAGCCAAAATGTATGCTCACCATTATGCATTTTGTGTGAGGTAATAAGTATTTAGCTCTTAATCTCAGTAGCAGCAATGGGTTTTCTTATCTCTAGTGCTTCTATTTGTGCCTTCTCCCATTTTTGGCCTGGTCTGCCCTCTCCTCTGCTCCACCTCTAGTCTTTATAAACCCTTCCCGATCTACGCTGCTTGTTCTTTTCGTCAAAATGCCTGCGAAGAAGGTCGAACCCAAGAAACCTGAGCCGAAGAAGCCGGAGCCCAAGAAAGAGGAACCGGCCACGCCTCCTCCCAAGCCGGCCGAACCCGAGGCCAAAGCCCCCGAGGTGGATCTGAAGAGCGTGGTGCTGGAATTCACGCCGGAGCAAATGGAAGAGTTCCGCGACGCCTTCACGCTCTTCGACGAAACTCCCGCGGGCGAAATGAAGATCAGGTACGCGCAGTGCGGTGACGTGATGCGTGCACTGGGACACAACCCGACCAACGACGACGTCTTGAAGCTACTGGGACGTCCCAAGGCTGAGGACATGAACTCCAAACTGCTGGATTTTGACACTTTCCTGCCCATGCTGCAGCACGTGGCCAAGGCTAAGGAGCAGGGGAACTTCGAGGACTTCGTGGAGGGTCTGCGTGTGTTTGATAAGGAGGGGAACGGCACGGTGATGGGCGCCGAGCTGAGGCACGTTCTGGCCACTCTCGGGGAGAAGATGACGGAGGACGAGGTGGATCGGCTCATGGCGGGACAAGAGGACGCCAACGGACACATCAACTACACCGAGTTTGTCAAGCACATCATGGCCGGATAGAGAGTTCTTTGTTTTCATAAATAAACCAATGTTAACAAAAAAAAAATGATGCGTTATTTGTATTGATTCTGGTCCTTTAACAATTCTTGAGAATATTTCATTTGTTTTTTAGCCGTGATACCTAATTTCTGTGTTATAAACAAATGCAAAGAAATACTCTATTTTGATTGTCCTAATGGAAAGGGTTGTCAAAGCTTAATGAGGGTCATGCTCTCTGAGTCTGAGATGTTTGAGGCAATAAAAAGAAAGACAATGTGGCATGATATGTGTTCTTTAATTTTTCAACTAATAAGTATTCATTAAATTACAAGTATGTACTAATGTTTAGCTTCTTGATTGAGGCGACAGTGGATCAGTTGGTAGAGCATTGTCCTTTAGGCCTAAAAGTCACAGGTGCGATCCACCCACAAGACCTACTCCAACTGTCCCCACTCATGTTGTTGTGTCCTTGTGCAAGACACTTAACCCCTGTGTTACCCGAAGCCTCCGCTGAAAGAAGGCTGTATCACCGCTGACAGAGCAGCAGCCATCTTCCATTGCCACACCCTGACCCAGAAATGGATTAATAAAGGGGAAGAACATGAATGAATGTTTGCGTTATGGCACCATTAAGTTTTCACCTCTAAATAATGTTTAAAATTTACAAATATATTTAAAGCATACTCTCTATAAGACTTGACCATAACAATGTGTGCTTTTAAATTGGACACATTCATAAATTAGTGGCTCAGTTGGTAGAGTATTGACCTTTAAGCCTGAAGGACGTGGGTTCAAGCTCACCCTGGGACCTACTTCACGACTCCCACTGATGTCTGCTGTCCTTGTGTCCTTGGGCAAGACACTTAACCCCACGTTGCCTGAAGCCCCCACTGAAAGATCTCAGCTCCTGTGGACTCACCAGACGCAGAAGGATCAGTGAGGGGCTGGTGCTAAGTGACTTTGGAGCAGCCACCCCCCCAACCCAGAAATGGATTAAGGGGAAGAAAATGGATGGATGGACGTTGGTAAATTGGTAGGCGTTTGTTTTGATTGCTATAATTGATCATTTTATGCTATCTGACCCCATTTATAAATCAAGGGGGTCATTTACAAATTTGTTTCTGTTAGATACATATGACATTGAACAAGCAAAGAGCAAATCCCACAAAATAATTCTTATAACCACTTAGAAGTGAGTGTTAATGTCACTTGAACGCAACCTATACAGGGAAACAGGTACAGCCTTGTCAATAGTAATCAGAGTAAATAAATACCACAACAGAAAGAATATAGCTTTAATCAAACACCACGCTATTACATTCAATTATAGAGTGATAAAACTCTGGTACATTATTTCAAACCACTAGGCTGAATCTATAGAAATGTGAGCCAAACAAATGTATTGAAAATATTTACAAATTGTATTTGGTAAGCGCCTGATTGACCTGAATAAGATAAGATAAGAATCCCACTGATGACTGCTGTCGTTGTGTCCTTGGGCAAGACACTTAACCCCACTTTGCCCAAAGCCCCCACTGAAAGATCAAGACTATGCTCACAGTCAGAGAGCAGCCGTCCTCCTGTGGACTCACCACCTGCAGAGGGTCAGTGAGGGGCTGGTGCTATGAGACTTTGGTGGCATCTCTGACTGTCACCCCCCTGACCCAGAAATGGATCAAAGGGTAGAAAATGGATGGATAGGATGGATGGAAGAATTCCTTTATTCGTCCCACAGTGGGGAAATTTCGATGTTGCATCGCACATATTGGACAGTAGTAAGAGCACACAGGGATCACACACACAATATATACACTATATACTGTACAAATAAGTAGTAGCTATGTTTCTTAACTAACATAACTAGCTGTAGATGCTGAAAATGCTTCAATACCAGTCAAGAAATATATATGTAGTAGTGCAGTTATATACTGTACAGTTAAATAGTGCAGGATAATAAGTATATAAGTAAAGTGACATGAGGTAAAGTGACATTGTTCTGTGACATTCTGAAGTTGCAGTATTGCACATTGCACATGATTTAAGAATTTACTTAATTACAGTTGAATGAAATTTACAGGCTCAGCAGTTCTTATTGTACAGTCTGACAGCAGCAGGAAGGAAAGACCTACGGAACCTCTCCTTCACACATCGAGGGTGAATTAGTCTGTCATGCTAATGCTTTTGCTTCTGCCTACTGTTCTTCTCTCTGTAGTCAAATAAATTACATAACTATATACTATATATGATGGTGAATCTTGTGATTGGTTTAGCTCAATATTAATGTGAGATGAGACTGTGAAATAGAGAGTGGGTGATCGGATCTGTAAAAGAAGCCCTGTCTGAAAGAAGCTGTTCTATGGGCAGGAATGCAGAGCCATATTTTACCATAGACCCAGTATTTCCACTGTTATACAGTCTATGAGTCGACTACTTGTGTTTGCGCTTTTTGGCAGAAAGGTAGTTTTCCTCGCCGGTGAAGAAAAATTATCTGCAATATTAGATTACAGGGCAGACTGAACCAACTCCTCGTAAACCACATTGAACATTTGGAGCATATGCGATCATTTAACACTGTAGCTATGGTGGCCATGATGTCACCTGTACCCTTGATCACCAGAGTTCCAAAAATAGCAAATATTGTGTAGAAAGCCTTCTGTGTGGTCTGGTTTTTCTTCGCTCCATCTCCAGGACGTGGGCGGACAAGTACAACCAACACTGAAATATTACAGAAAAGAATGTAGAGAAGCACAAAGACTTGTTAGGGTCGAATTCAAAGAAACCTCCGCAAATTCCCTGTAGGAAATACTGGAGCCACACCAGCCCGCAGATAACGTTACTAGTCATGGTTCGCTTCTTCAGACCCAAGTATGTCATGGGGTGAACCACGGCAATGTAGCGCTCTCCGCACGTCAAGCACTGAAAGATCAAGAGTGCTGAAGAGTTGACAAAGAACATGTAAATACTAAGCAGAACAAAAGAGTCATTACACAGATGAGTGCCTATTGTGCTCATGAACAAGGCGAATACCCCTATGATTTGGATGGCGCTGACGTGGTACGTGAATGCGTCGCTGTGGCTGATTTTGGAGAGCAGTCTGAGCTGCTGGAAGCCCAGGTACAGGACAGAGCTGCAGATGGGGAGGATGACCAGGGCGTTTACAGACAAGAACAACATCCCATTGTGAATTCTTTCTTGGGTGTAGAAGCACAGCAGCAGCTGGTGGAACACATTCCCATGAGATGAGCCAGACAGAGAAGAGTTCAGGCCCATGGCTTGTAGAAGAAAAGAAATAACAATGTAATTCATAAAAGCAATAGTTTCAAAAGTGCATGTTAAAGCAGAGTAGACATGCTTTTCAGACTACTAGATTCCGGTGCCACATTAAAATGAGCTTCTCGCAATAATGTGTGAATCCATACAACTCATCCATCCGTGAACTCTTGAACGAAAGAATAATAATCTGGGGTGGACGATCACAAAATCCAATTTTAACTTTAGTTCTCGGAGATTGCATGCCTCACAAGCACCACCGATCAAAATCTTAATTAGGGTCTTACCATCACATCAGATCTACCTTTATCCATCCATTCATCTCGACCCTAAGTGTGAAACAGTGGCTTATTTTTTCATTGCTCAACATTTGTACTCTCCTTTTCTGTTGGCACAAACCACATACATGTATGTTGTTTATGAAACAGAAAGTTAGGTACTACAGTGATAATATATTTTTTATGGGAAAAAGGGGTTGGTGCTATGTGGATTAGGTGCAGCTCTGACTGCCACCCCCCAACCCAGAAATGGATTAAGGGGAAGAAGATGGATGGATGGATGGGGGGGATAAAGGTGTTTATTTTAAATATTTTTTGTTTTGTTAAATATGTAAAGAAAGTGAAATCCACTCACCTGAGCTGGTGTATATCGTGTGAGCAGCAGTAGCCTTTGCACTGAATTCACACCTGAACATCTTTGCATGTTTTCCACGTTTTCCACCCATCAAACTCTGGTCTTTTGCATGATTTGAGGTGAAGCAAAAGAAAGCCTCTAATTCAAACACACAACGGGCTTTGGGCCAGGCTCCATTTTCCATTTCTATGTTTGGGTATGTCGTAAACATTCATCAAATATGGAGGCTCTTTGCACCTGGCTAGTCGGATTTCATATATGGCTGATGTGGCACTCACTTTGTCAACTCCAGGGGCATATTAGAGAATGAGGTGTGGTTTTAACAAACAGGTATAAGGCTAATTGTGTGTGTGTGTCTGTATCAGAGAGAGTGCAGTGTATTGCGATGTTATTTCTATTGGATTGTACATTACTGTATCCATGTATTTTATTGATCTGGTGCAGAACATATCTGTCTTCAAGCTTAATGTCTCTGTACATTGTCCCTTCAAATAAAGACTAAACTAAACTAAACTAAACTATTACAACCATAGCTGGCTCCCAGACTACATATCACTTGTGATAAGGACTCTGGTGTTCGCAGAGCTAGGTCGTATCTAAACTACAGATTTTAAGTAGGACTACTTTAGTTACCTCATGTGATGCTTTTTTTATACATTAAGATCATTGTTTCTTGTAGCATGGTAATTTTGCATTTCTCTTCAGATACAGCAAAGGCAAAACTAAATGACTGGGAATATTGAATGTAAGAATAGACACATAAACTAGACACTTCATCTCCTCAGCCAAGGTGGATTGCTGGAGCACATTGCAAATCAGCATCCCAGTGAGCCAGAAAACCAGAACCCCCATTATTGCCACGATCGTCTTGAAAGCCCTGCGTTTAGTTTTATCAACTTTCTCTTTATCGCTCGGTCCTGGACGATTTAGAACGCGCAAAACCGAAACACTGCAAAAACTGATGATACCCAGAATGACTCCAAGCAAACATGAAAATAATATTACTGGAAAAATGGGATATAGCACATGTACTATTGCACCGTGACAAAAGCCAAGCAGCCAACCTCCTGCTACGGCTGCATTTCGGAGAACTATTCCATTTGAGTGTTTTAGCTTGAGATATGAGACTGGGTGAATGACGGCGAGGTAACGTTCAACGCAGCTGAAACAGTGGATTAGCATCACTGTGACGTAGTCACAGTGTTGAGATTATATCCAAGCATAAACACCACGTCATTTCCATAAATGTTACCTATTGTGTTGCCAGCATCGCTAACGTCCCGATCAGTTGTGAAGAAATCGAGTGGAAGGTGAAATAATCAGAGTGGCTGGTGGATTTTTGTTTTTGCCATTGTTGAAAACCAAAGGCGAGTGTGTAAACAGAAACAGGTAATGTCAACAAAATCTGGACGATGTAAGAGGAGAGGGTAAGAATTTGTGCTTTTGAAGTCTCCAGGCATTCCACCGAAGAGTTGTTCCACATTTTAATGATGACAAACACTGGCAAAAAGAATTGACAATTTATTAATTCATAAATGTACTTTACTGATCTGCCCTGAAGAAAACCGCATTTGTTTGGTTTCCCTCGATAATAAAGGATTTTTACTTTAAAGTCAGTTGTGCCTTGGACCTTCTTTTATGTCTTCAAATTGAGATATTTTGCATACGGCTCTTGGAAGAGATCTGTCTGAGACTGTCTCATGACCGTCTAAACACAGATCACGTTTCCAAGCGGATTCCCATTTAAAATTTAAATTGAGACAAGGGACGACATTTTAAGCAGTAAGACCACGTCCTCGTGCTGAATCAAGTCTAATGAAAGAATAAAACTAGAAACCTCACCTCTCAATGGTGACTTCAATGATGGCCCTCTGAACTGTGACTGACTCATGGACTCTGGGTAGCAATTTTTTTTACATAATGCATTTCATATTTTCATACTTCATCTTTCACACTTCACTTCCATTGTGTTATGGGCAATAGCCAAATGTCGACTGCATCTGTTTATTTATCATTAACTTGTAAAGCTGAACACATTGTCAAAACATCTAATCCAAGTAGAATGGTCTAAAGTGAAAAAGAAGAAATGTTCTGCTTGGAAATAGAGTTTGTCCACAGAAGCAGAGACAAATCAATATGATACAATATGTGCATGTTACATAAAGTACAGACACTAGTGCATGGCTAAAGAAGATTTTAAGATGTGGAAAAACAACAGTCTCCATACATTTTCTTCCACAGGTAAGTAGACACAGCACACCTCCCTATGGGGAACATCCAGGAGACATTCAAAACACATTTCATGTCTACTGTAAGTGCTATTCGAAATGATATTTGAAAGTATTACAATTGGCCTTTTTATCAAGTACTTTTATTGAAAAGCCAGACACATACAGTACATATACAAAATAAGTTTCACCCCTTCTTGGGTAAATTCTTTAAAATTTGAAGATTGTAGCTCAAAGAATACAACTTGTTGCTTCCTCTGACCACCTCATCTGGCTTCACTTGGAATTCATGTGTAGAAACCTTACTCTGAGCTCTGAGATCCATCCATGGCCTTGGATGGATCTAACCAATATTATTTCTTCCAGCTAGGCAGTTTCTTCTCTTTCTTCAGATACAGCAAAGGCAAAACTAAATCACATGGAAAACTAAACATTAGAGCGGATACAAACAGTTGACATTTAAGCTCAGAGATCATCCCAAACAGCCAGACAAGCAAAGTCTCCATTATAGCAGTGATGGTCTTGAAATCCCTGCGTTTAGATCCATCCACTTTCACGCGATCGCTTGGTCCAACAGAAACTAAATACAACCACAATGATGCTAAGACAACATAATATAGCTGTTACAGGGTAATCTGGGTAAGGACCCTGTCATGTCATCATTCATTCACTCCAAACACGGTGGTGATAAACTACTACTATAGCCACAGCTGCCCTGGGGCACACTGATCGAAGCGAGGCAACCAGTATGTGCCATTGGCCCCTCCAACCACCACCAACCATTCACACACACACCAGACTCATTCTGGGCAATGGGGGTGAAGTGTCTTGCCTAAGGACACAACGACAGTTTGGCACTTTACAGCCGCAGCCGCCCCACTGTGGCACTTGGTGTTCCCAGAGGCTAAGGGTGTATTCAGACCTGCACATTTGCTCCACTTTAAACGAACCAGGATTTGTTTGGAACTCTGATCCGAATCTTTTATGCAGGTCTGAATACACACAAACGAATCCTGGTCCGGACCAAAGAACCGAACCGAGACCCACTTTTTGAGGTGGTCTCGGTCCGCTTCCAAACGAATTCTGGTCCAAGTCGAATCAGGTCTGAATACATCCGGTGTCGATCCGACACAACTCCAAGATACGTGCGCATTTTTTGGGCTTAACAAGCCGCAGACAGAAACTGAGGAATTAGCCATGCAGCGGCTAACTATGCTGCTAACTATGCTGCTAACGCTACACAACAACAATGAGCCGTGTGCAGACCTGGAGCAGTGAGGAGACGCTGTGCAACAGGCTTATGGAGTTAAAACTGTTCACAGTATACATTGATGTTAATGGCAGCATCTTTAAACCATTTGCATTATTAAAAGCCTGACACTGTTTGACTCACGTCTCAAAGAGCAATATTCCGCATCATGTAGTGAATTGTGTTCTTTGGTTCCTACCTGATCCTCAGCGTCTGTTTGTCCCGTGGTTATTATAGATCCATGGTTTATCCACGATGCTGCTGTCAGTAAGTTGTGGAACAGGGTTATTATAGATCCATGTGTGGGACCGGGCACGGAGCGCTCAGACAGTCTCCTTCGGCTTTCTCCTCACGCATTCTCCGACGCTGTTCCAATATTTAAAACAACGTGTTTGGCCTGTGTCATATGAGCTGCTGTTGATGTTGAAGGTGGTTTTGCTCTAAAAAGAGCAAACATAGGCAGAGCAGACATGCTGCACATACGAGCCCTCTGTTTTCCTCTGGTTCCGCGTCTATCCTCCGTGAGCTCTCTCTGTCCAATAGGAGCGCCGATCGTCACACGTGTCAATATGTTTATATAAAAAAGTTCACTTGCAAAAAGGACAGTCTGAATACGAACCGGAGCAAAAGAAAAAAGTTTGGTCCGCTTTTGATTCGGATCAAGCAAGCGGAGCAAAGGACTTTTCAGGTCTGAATACACCCTAAGTGTCTTGTCAAGGACACAACGACAGCAGACAGTGGGAGTCGAGGGTGAAAGTCTTGAGGTGGGCTCGAACCCACGACTGAGCTACTGTCGCCCTTCTGAGTTCTGGATCTACAGCCTCCGTTGTGGTTCTGGAACCTGAGCCCTGGATCTCCAGCTTATTTGAGTGCATCCCACTCTCCAAACG